CCCTCATATTAGGAATTGGGGCCGCATATAATTATTTTTAAAAATCTTAATTGTAAACTACTGAAAATAAATTAATAAACGTGCCCAGTTTGGCGGGGGCGTTGCCTCCAACGTGCCCCCCCCCCCTCCGCAAACTTCCGGCCATGAAGAAGTGTCATTGTCCGAAACGTCTATTTTTTCAGTTGAAGGTAGTCCTTTGATGAACATGTTTAGCTGTTGTTGTGTTTGTGAACCACTGCCAATTGCAGCGTCACCGAATTATTTGTTTACCCACAATGAATGTGACTCATCTGTACTATATATCACTTTACCGAAAGAACCAACGAGTATGGATCCCAGCAGTCACGAAAACTTCACATCTAGATTGTATACACACTGCTGCATGGGGAAACATCCATAACATTCATCCGTAACATTCATCCATAACATTCATCCGTAACATTCATCCGTAACATTCATCCGTAACATTCATCCGTAACATTCATCCGTAACATTCATCCGTAACATCCATCCGTAACATCCATCCGTAACATTCATCCATAACATTCATCCGTAACAGTCGTGCACGGCACATTTTCTTTTAGCAATTGATTTTTGCTTTAGCGCGGAAATAAAAGTGAGGAACGTAGCGACTTTTTTGATTTACGTCTTCTTTGAAACAGCATACGTGAGTCAGTTCGTCTACAAATGTCCCTTATAAAACAATGCAATTATATTGCTTATCATCAACCTGCCTAACTTGGGTCATGTCATTCGCGTGCAGGGTAAAGGCGCAGCGCTGCAAGTGCTTCCCCACGCCACTGCTGGTGGAAGGGCCTCCACCTACTGGAGGAAGCTCTCGAAAAAAATAAACCCTCAAAGTGATTTGGCCTACTCTTCCACCCTGGGCACATACATCGTTGAAGATGTGGCAATACCCACACTTGACCCCACCACGCCCCTACTCATGTACACCGCTCGGTGGGTACACAGGGGCGGAGGGGATTTAAACTGCAGTGGCACCGTCGGTCCAACTGCCGCGCCGACCATTCCACCGCAGCGCTATCCCCACCACGCCGACACTCTCTCTCTGTCTCTAGTAAGTCTACGTGTGGCCGTGTTGTCAATCGTGCTATTATTTTCACAATCCTGACGGCGTCTAGTACGGCTGATGAAATCCCACAAATCCAGTCCTGTAATGTTGCTTCACCCAGATGAGTAGCGGGTATCATCAACTGAAGAGGAAGATTTAAGAACCTGTGTGCAAAGTGCCAGTGGATAACGTTCACATTTTACAATAAATGCATACTCGTGTGAAAGCTCAAGTTGGCTGTGTGCAGCAAACTAAAGCCGTCAGCTCCGTGTCCGCTGAGCTACCATGTAGGCTGGCAACGGCGCACGCCTTCAAACTCATCGCATCGTGGAAACAGCAGCAACAATGAAATGACCGACTGCTCTTGACAGAAGGAAAATTTACCGGGGCGCCCGTACTATTTTAATGATACTTCCTTGGTAGTTTAACACGCAGTGTTTGCAATAAGTGTCCGCGTTAACTGATTTACAATAAAGCTCCAGACATTATTAAATACTGTAGCTGCATATAGAACACATCTATAACAAAATATATATCCTTCCGTCCATCTACCCGTCTGCATAAGACAGACAGAGTGAGAATTGACAGCCCTGTGATTTGCCAGAGTAAGAAGGTTGCTCGTAATGACACGGCCGCGATGGCTCTGCTTCGCACTGACACGAGCGGTGTGCGAGTTACTGGGCGACGAGGCAAAGGTGGGTGGAATTATTGTCAAGGGAATGAAATACGTGGCGGGTGGAAAGCGGAGGGTTGCGACCGAGCAATCTCGGATGCAGGGTAAATGGCAGGCGAGGGGAAAAGTGTTGTGCGGGGGGGGGGGGGCAACTTGGGGGTGTCCGTGTAAGAAATGAATCGCGATATTTCGCGTGCACGGCACGGCGAAAGAAGTTGTGTGGGGGTTGGTGTGATTTGACAGCGGGAAAGCTCTGACATCAGCAGCAGCCATAGTAAATCCACTGCTGGATGAGGCCTCTCTATGCCGTTACCATCCCACATAGCCCCGCGATACAACGATCCATCCCACTTCTACGGATCTCATCGCTCCATGGACGTGTAATGACAGGGGAGTCAGCCTGCAGTGTGAGTGGACTAGTGGCCACGGGAGGTAATGACAGGGGAGTCAGCCTGTGGTGTGAGTGGACTAGTGGCCACGGGAAGTAATGACAGGGGAGTCAGCCTGGGGTGTGAGTGGACTAGTGGCCACGGGAGGTAATGACAGGGGAGTCAGCCTGCGGTGTGAGTGGACTAGTGGCCATGGGAGGTAATGATAGTAGAGTCAACCTGCAGTGAGAGTGGACTAGTGGCCACGGGAGGTAATGACGGGGGAGTCAGCTGTGAGTACGAAGGGGCTGGTGGCTACGGGAATGATCGAGAAGGGAGCACGGCCAGGTGACGGAAGAGGACGGTGGAGTCTGCCGGTGGAGCGAGCGTCCAGAGTCAGCGAGAATGTTCGGGAATGGGGGCGTGGCCTCGGTACGTATATAAGGGGAGATGCACGGGAGACTCGGGGCTGTTGCGGTGGGGTCTCCGCCTGTTCGAGTGAACGTGTCTTCAATGAATAAACCATCTCAATAAAAGTGTGTTAATTCGTCTTTACATATATATGATGAACTTATTTGGCACCATACGTAGCCAACCGTGCCAATCGGAGGTGCGGACAAAGAACAACAAATTATAGGGCGCGTCCTCTCCTCTGGCTGCCGCTCCGTCACCAGTCTCATCAACGTGCCACCATCCCTTCACGATGTGCCCGGTCCCCCACCCCCTGATATTCATGATCAGTCAAGGCGATGCCTCTGACATCCATCTATTCTCCGATCCATGTATTTCTCTTTCAGTTTAAATATCTATTATAATGTAATTGCCTCAGTACGTATAAACAAATACATTTGAACAGAAATTAAACTATATTTACAAGTTCCTGTACGATATGCTAGCTTCATTTGAATGCCGAGTAGTAAACGGGATAGCGGTGGCGCGGTGGGTCAACCATTGCGCAAAAGAAATTCCGCCGACCCGCAATCACCAGCGCACTGAAGCATCGTCAAAGCAACCCCCACGAGTGAAGGGCCTGGGGAGGCCTTCAGCCAGCAGTAGACTGACACAGGGGCCGTGTGTCTGCATTTCAAAATACGCACACACATTCGAAAAGAGACTCGTGCAAGCTTCAGAGGCAAGAGACTCGTGCAAGCTTCAGAGGCCATGGCAAGAGCTGCAGGAATGAATTATATGATAAGCGCATCGCTCCATCTCCCCCCGCCCCCCCTCTGCTGTGAAGCTACAGCAGCAGCAGACTATGTCTGTGAATCATAGCTCCTCCGGAATAGCCCTGCGCTATACGAATGGCACATATACCAAATGTACGAACCATTAGATTTTTCTTTTAAATGTGATGGATAGGACAAGGCTGATTGGACGTGAAACCTACCACCGCTCAGATCTCTGCGTGTTCTCAATGACGACGATGCTGAACTGGCAGTAACTTCATATTATCGCCACCAATTTAAATTCATAACTTTGCTTGATGTTTCCCATCCCATTATTGTCACTTGCTTTACCAAAGGGTGTATTCGATCTTCTAATGCCCTGGAGTATGTGCTTGACTCGATCAAAATATGTGATGGGCGTGAGTATCATCAGCATCATCACCATCACTAAATGTGATGGATGTGCCGTGTCCCGCCTAGGACATGTGTGAAGAGAAGGGAGTTGCCGATGTCTCAGACAGAGACCTCGACTGTTCCCCACGCAGTGTGAAAAAGGGGAAATCTCTGGGAGTGGATGGTATCACCGTGGAGATAATCTAAGAAGGGAAATCATTTATTGGAACAAAATTAGCAGACTTGTTTCCTGTGTTTACACTGTAATGATGCATAGTGATGTCTGATTCTTCTACTTAAAACTAAAAACTATTCAAAAATAGATAGCTCAACCAAGTGGATTATCACGTGAAAAATTACAGCAGCCAAATACTCTAAATGCATGTTTCTAAATGTGGAGGGAAAAACTGGACCCAGAGAAAAATCCACGTGTCCACGGGGAGAGAGACACGCACACTCCAAACACACAATAGGCGTCAGGGTCAGAACCAAACCCACGACCTCCTGTGTACCAGGCGAGGTAGTCAACATCTCCCAGGGGCGGGATCGAACCCACGACCTCCTGTATACCGGGCGAGGTAGTCAACATCTCGCCACGGTGCCACTCTAACGGTAAAAAAACATTACGGTGATAAAACTGAGGTGAAGAACTACAGGCGCCAATTTTTCTCTTATCGCACGCCCAACAATCCTTCACGAAAACCACTCTGGAATGCCACAGGAGCAGCGGAGTTCATGAAATGTTTCTCTTTCCATCAACACCGTACCACGTACTCTTTCCATCGACCCAATGTGACGCATTAGCTACGTTCATCAAGTGCCGGGCACTGGAATGGTGTTCTAATGTTCATAGTCGGCGCATATCGGTGGCCACGGTATAAATTATAAATATAAGCATAATAATCTAATAATTACAGCTTATATTACACCTTTCAGAAAATCTCAAGGCACTTTACAACAATGGGGTGGTGGTTTGGGGAAGAAGTGGCTGAGGTAAAATAGATAATGCTATCTGAATTATATACATTATAAACAGTCCTATTACCATACGTACTTAAGTTGTTGAAATGTTAATAAACGAGTGTATGGGAAGACACTAAAGAGGTATTAATGGTGTGTGGGGCCAGTTTAACATAGATATTTTTTGTTTAAAAAACACCCGTAAGGTCCAACAAAAGTATACATCCAATAAATATTTACTGCGCACTAACGTAACATCATGTTGTGTTCTTCATTTGCTTTCTCGGGACTGTACTTTCACGGTGCCGCCCTAAGCGAGAGTCTCCCACGTCTGCGGTCGTGGGTTTCCTCCACGCGGTGCGGTGCAACGTTCCCCGGCGGCCGCACAACTCTTGGCGGCCTGCGAACGCAAAGCTCCACTTCACGTGGGCCTCCTCGCACGCGGCCCAGCGAGCAGGCGCGTGTCGCGGACGCCGCTGGTGACCGCTCCTCCCTTCCTCGGTGGCCTCAAACAGCAACGGAAGCTCAAGGTTCATCACCGACGGTTGTGGTCCTGGCCGAGGACCGTATGCGTTAAGGGTTAGAGCAATTTGAACGGTTTTAAAAAAAAAAATGTATATGTTCGCAAGTAGAAATGACGAACGTCATCAATCGGCAACACACTTGTGTTAAACCTCGAGCCTGTGCATCAGGATAATGGAAGATTAAGGGAACCAGAAATCAGAATAACGTCTTCTGAAGGCAGCACATTGTACACAAGGCAACGGCGGTGACATCTTCCCAAGGTAACAATCTAGCTCTCTTCGTTGCGACTGCCATGGTGTAAGGGACATCGAACAGTACTCCCGTGAAGAGTTCACTCTGGACCACAGAAGCACAATTACATTCTACGCCAAGGCAAGCGCAACTTCATGTAAGTATCTTAAACCACTGTTACATCAGTGCAATCGTAAGTGAAATGTGAACATATCGTTTGGAAAATCGCTTGTGGAGTAAAACATATACGTACCCAGAGCTCTCTGGGAAACATGTTTTACATGCTAATGAGACACTAAATGTCAACACCGCTCCAGAGTTAGCTTGTGTTGAACCCGATGCTGCTAAAATGACACACTCCTAGAAGGTCGTCCTCTCGATGGGGTGTGTCCAAAAATATTTTTAAGTGTTCACGTGGAGAGAAAGTGACGTGAGAAGGAGGCGACTTATATTACACTTATATTCTCCACTCTGAAGCAAGTGACAATGTTTTACGCTCACATTATATACAAGCTGACTTGCACATGCGCTACACCACACGCATTCTCCTCCTCCTATTAAGTGATTGTTGTTTGATTTTGTTTTTTAAACCCTTTCATTTATATTGTACCGTATAAGAATTGCTAACACACTTTTTACAACGCACACTTCAGACATGCGCTCGCTTTCGAAAGCCATAACTTCCTCGTTTCAACACATCCCGTAAGCGACAGCATGAGTCAAAGTCTTCGTCTGGTCAATGGCAACACCTTGCACAAACCGGTTTGAAGCCTTGCTCCGTTTGATTCCACGGAGTGATTCTCTTAATCTGTGATGCAGTGGAATATTTTAGTACACTCGTCGTAATTACCTGCCACCACACCCCCCCCCCCCCCCCCCCCCCCCAAAAATGTTTTGTCAACTCATAAGTGAACTCAGTAAATATACATATTTTTAAATATATTACATTATTTACAGAACCAATTCAAATGTTTGCTCATTCCTGGGTGCATTGCAGTTTCTAATAAAGCGAACAAGCGATGCCAGCAGCTTCCGCGAGTTTCATCTCGTTACAATCGGCCACTCTTCGGTGCTTGGTGGGAGGTGGTCGTGGCCACCCTCTGCGTTGATGGTTTTCGTCCAAATTCATCGTTGGCTACGATAAAAAATAAAATAAATAAAAACCACCTGGTTGGGGAACAAATGCATCACTAATTTGGTTGAGCAATATAAACGCTCAGTCCAACGCCTACACCCGCTTATAAATAAGTGCATATCGGTTTCCGTGGGGGGTAGTGAGGCGGTGATTCATGCACTGGCCTACGAGCACGGCAACGTTAGTTCAATTCTTAGTCATGACGGACAGGTTGGTGAAAGACGAGCAACGTTTGCCAATTGGTCTAATCAAATCACATTTTTCAATCGTTCAAATTTGACATAGTAAAATTGAGCTTGGTATCAACACTCTGGCTTTGCTGATAGACGAAATAAACTGGCATCATCTTCCACGTGGCAACTTCATTTGATTGGCTTTGTTGGGTGGTGGAAGGTTATCGTAAAAAAAAAACATGATACATTAAACGATCTCACTCAAAATAAACTAATTACGAATCATAATATTGGTCCTGAAAGCCTAGGTCTGCGTGTGTGTGGGGAGCGGTAGTGCAGCGGTTAGCGCACTGCGCTACAAACCCGACAACCCGAGTTCGATTCTTGCTCACGGCCAACACCAGTGATGGTTATCTTAACCGGTCATGAGCCTCCCCTAGGTTGACTTAGCCTCAAATGAATACCTAGTATGGTGTGCAAACATCACCACTGGGGAGTAAAAGGCGGCCCGGCTGGCCACCCACCTCCTCTATGCCGTGCCGGCCTTCGTACAGTGAGGGAAAAAAGTATTTGATCCCCTGCTGATTTTGTACGTTTGCCCACTGACAAAGAAATGATCAATCTATAATTCTAATGGTAGGTATATTTGAACAGTGAGAGACAGAATAACAACAACAAAATCCAGAAAAACGCATGTAAAAAAATGTTATAAATTGATTTGCATTTTAATGAGGGAAATAAGATTTGACCCCCTCTCAATCAGAAAGATTTCTGGCTCCCAGGTGTCTTTTATACAGGTAACGAGCTGAGATTAGAAGCACACTCTTAAAGGGAGTGCTCCTAATCTCAGCTTGTTACCTGAATAAAAGACACCTGTCCACAGAAGCAATCAATCAATCAATCAGATTCCAAACTATCCACCATGGCCAAGACCAAAGAGCTCTCCAAGGATGTCAGGGACAAGATTGTAGACCTACACAAGGCTGGAATGGGCTAGAAGACCATTGCCAAGCAGCTTGGTGAGAAGGTGACAACAGTGCGTGTGATTATTCGCAAATGGAAGAAACACAAAAGAACTTTCAATCTCCCTCGGCCTGGGGCACCATGCAAGATCTCACCTCGTGGAGTTGCAATGATCATGAGAACGGTGAGCAATCAGCCCAGAACTACACGGGAGGATCTTGTCAATGATATCAAGGCAGCTGCGACCATAGTCACCAAGAAAACAATTGGTAACACACTACGCCGTGAAGGACTGAAATCCTGCAGCGCCCGCAAGGTCCCCCTGCTCAAGAAAGCATATATACATGCCCGTCTGAAGTTTGCCAATGGACATCTGAATGATTCAGAGGACAACTGGGTGAAAGTGTTGTGGTCAGATGAGACCAAAATGGAGCTCTTTGGCATAAACTCAACTCGCCGTGTTTGGAGGAGGAATGCTGCCTATGACCCCAAGAACACCATCCCCACCGTCAAACATGGAGGTGGAAACATTATGCTTTGGGGGTGTTTTTTCTGCTAAGGGGACAGGACAACTTCACCGCATTCAAGGGACGATGGACGGGGCCATGTACCGTCAATTCTTGGGTGAGAACCTCCTTTCCTCAGCCAGGGCATTGAAAATGGGTCGTGGATGGGTATCCCAGCATGACAATGACCCAAAACACACGGCCAAGGCAACAAATGAGTGGCTCAAGAAGAAACACATTAAGGTCCTGGAGTGGCCTAGCCAGTCTCCAGACCTTAATCCCATAGAAAATCTGTGGAGGGAGCTGAAGGTTCGAGTTGCCAAACATCAGCCTCGAAACCTTAATGACTTGGAGAAGATCTACAAAGAGGAGTGGGACAAAATCCCTCCTGAGATGTGTGCAAACCTGGTGGCCAACTACAAGAAACGTCTGACCTCTGTGATTGCCAACAAGGGTTTGCCACCAAGTACTAAGTCATGTTTTGCAGAGGGGTCAAATACTTATTTCCCTCATTAAAATGCAAATCAATTTATAACATTTTTGACATGCGTTTTTCTGGATTTTGTTGTTGTTATTCTGGCTCTTACTGTTCAAATGAACCTACCATTAAAATTCTAGACTGATCATTTCTTTGTCAGTGGGCAAACGTACAAAATCAGCAGGGGATCAAATACTTTTTTCCCTCACTGTATTGCAAGAGTTCACTGCACACAACAACAAAAACCATGAAAGACACGCGGAATGTTCGACAAAGTGCCTGGAAATGCACCACATGCTTGTTGTGGTATAAATACTACATTTTGATGGTGATATGCATGAATCTATTTTTTTTTTACAAACGCCACCAACAAATTCTGCTTCATGATTGAATGCGTAGCTGCGTGACACAGCTTCTCTTGACACGGCATTCGTAAAAAAATGCGGTCAATATCGATCGCAATATGTTTTTGTATGCGCCGCAAGATAACGTGTAATATCTCATTTATCGTGATTACTGCTCCTCATTTGAGTAATCCAGAAGTATCATTTTTCTTGACAAAATATTTATCAAGCCACCAACTCAATAATCAACAGTGAAAATAAACATCTATTTTCCATTCAATCGGTGCTTTGCTAAATGTTTTGGACATGTTGGCTAAATGCATGATTATATAACAAAATGGAATTACACAACATTACTTTTGGAGTTAATTTAATATATTATCATCATTTTCTAAATTGACTTCCATGTTCTGCGGTTTATACCATTTAAAATAATATTTGTGCTGGACGTATTAACCAAGAACAAAATTAAGTACAAATACAACCAGAAGCTAATATCGCGTTTATCGGCCACGTGTGTATTCGCTATGCTTGGCACTTTGTTCTTTCGTGCACCTTGCACTGGCGGTCTTCATCGACGCTCTGTACTTCTGCATACATTGTCTGAAAAAAAATCGCAATGTTTTGCACCTAAAGTGCTTGCAGTTGATGTTCATGCAAAGAATGTGCCTTATTCAGAATACAATGTCACCAATATGCTCGTCCATGCATGGGCGCGTATTCATTCATACGATTCGACGTCTCTCGAAATTGCATCAATAAAAAGTGTGGCATGAGTCGAGTTTAAATCTCATTAGCTTTTACTTCCCATAAATAAATGTAAAGATGAAGAGTAAGTTTGTGTTAAAATAAATAAGTGCTTCTTTCGAGTAGACGTAAAAAAAAATACGGCAGCCGTTAAAATGAACCGCAGAAAATATCAACGCACGCCACTGTGACGGAACATTTTACATATTTATATTTAAAAAGTGGACAATGAAAGACAGTTGGTTCAGTGTAATCAAACAAAACCTACTTCCTGCTGCTGACACTGAGCAATATCCTACGCACAGCACTCGGCAGTTATCGGCACACCCACGCGCATCGCGATAAACTTTTAACACGGCGGGAAATGTTTTCCCTACAGCCGTGAACGAAACAACGGCGAGAGAGTGGCAGGGGCCATGGCGAACGTCACGACGCTCAGCGAAGAGACGCGCCAGATGCTCACGGGCAGCCTCACCACCGTCGTGCTGCCGTGCATCTACCTCCTGGTGCTCGCCGTCGGCCTGCCGGCGCACGCCACGGCCCTCTGGGTCTTCCTGTTCAAGACGAGAACGCGCACGGCCTCCAACGTCTACATGGCCAACCTGGCAGCCGTAAACCTCCTCTATGTCCTCTTCCTGCCGCTGCAGATCGCCTACCACTTCCGCGGCAACGACTGGCCGTTCGGCCGCCCGCTCTGCCACGTCTTCACGCAGCTACTCTACACCAACACGCACTGCTCCACCTTCTTCCTCACCTGCGTCAGCGTCGACCGCTACCTGGCCATCGTGAGGCCGCTGCACGCTCGCCACATGCACGGCGTGCGCCGCGCCGCCCTGGTCACCGCGGGCATCTGGGTCCTGACCCTGGTCATGCTGTCACCCGTACAGTCGATAAACCTCCTCCACCACGTCCAGGAGCTGAACATCACCACCTGCTACGACGTCTTCCCAAAAGAAGAGGGCGTCGTCACATTCTTTCTCGTCTACTGCGTCGTGTTCGTGGCCGTGAACTTCTTTGTCCCCGTTTGCATCACCGTATTCTGCTACGCGTCCATCATTCGGGCGCTCACAAAGGCCAAGCTGGGCTCCTGTTCCGACGGGCGAAACAACGAGGACATCCGCAAGGGGATCCAGCTGTCGGTCGTGGTCCTGGTCACGTTCGTTCTTTGCTTCGCGCCGAACAACTGCGTGCTTTTGGCCCACGCGCTGCTCCACTGGACGAAGAAAAACAGCGACCTCTACGGCATCTACAAGCTCATGCTGGCCTTCAGCAGCCTCAACACCTGCTTCGACCCCATCGTCTTTTACTTCGTGTCGAGCGAGTTCCAGGCGCGTGTGCTCAGCGCGCTGGCCTGCTGGTGGCGCCCGTCCATGTCAAGCCGCCCCGAGCTGCTACGCGGCAGCAGTGGCACGGGCAGGGACGACTCGGAGCTCCTGCAGGACGCGCCGGGGAAAGGCGATCAGACGGGAACGTCCACGACGGTGTCGTCTCCCATCTGAAGCGCCCACGACGGTATTGTCTCCCATCTGAAGAGAATCCACAACGGTATTGTCTCCCATCTGAAGAGAATCCACAACGGTATTGTCTCCCATCTGAAGAGAATCCACAACGGTATTGTCTCCCATCTGAAGCGCCCACAACGGTATTGTCTCCCATCTGAAGAGAATCCACAACGGTATTGTCTCCCATCTGAAGCGCCCACAACGGTATTGTCTCCCATCTGAAGAGAATCCACAATGGTGTTGTCTCCTTTCTGAAGCACCCACAATGGTGTCATCTTCCTTCGAAAGTGGCTGGCGGGGGAGGAGGTCAAATGCAGCTGTCATTGTGAAAGATGTCGATGTATTTAGTGTGCCCTAATGTGTCATTGAAGAAAGTGTTTTTTTTACGTTCTTCTTTTGTTTCACTTTTTATTTTTGTTGGTGCGCAACGTCTATATTTACCTGGCTGCCTTTAACACGGAACATTAACACGCACTTGCATTTATACACTTTATAAACCTGATTTGTTATCATGAAGCTTTTCTGATTTCAGGACTGAATGTTAATCCAATTAACTCGAAAACGTATATTTCACAAAGCACGCTCGTGACTAGTTGCAAATCTCGAGCCCGATTACCTTCACGCCCCACCCAACGCGTACCCCTGAGTTTGTACGTGCCATGAAACGACTCTACTAAAACCCTCGCCATGAACCCGAGTTTTTAAATATATATTGTAATGTCGCTGTGAATAACGATGGCGATAGTGTGTCACTAAGTCTGACCCCCCTTTTAGTTTGTATCATACTACTTTATTCCGGTGATCATAGTGTAGCTGTACGAATACCCTGTTTCATCATATTAATTGTAGCTCCCTGCTCGTCACTTTAACACGGAGACTTTCGCGAAAAATATTTTCCTTAATAAAGGTTTTTTCGGGTTAGATCGCGTCAATATAAATGTGTCGTTAACCCACCACCACCCGAAACAGACAATTAGTAAGGTGTGTCACGTAAAAACAGAGCGTGCCAATTCGTTACTAGTACAGCACACCGGTGTGTTGGAGAGTAAACCCACGACATTTGCAATTTGAGTATTGTGACGTTTCACTGATAATTACAACCAACCTCATCGGACAATTCTGGTTGTAATTACCAGTGAAACGTCACAGTCATTTCAAATTGTAAACATTATGTATTTACTCTCCAACACACCAGAGTGCTGAGGTAGTAACTACTTGATTTGAAGCTTTCGTGACTGCAGGAATCCATACTCTTTGGTTCTTTCAGTAAAGTCACGTAGGTATAAATAAAATAAATCAGCTTTCCCACCTAATGATGGACGCTTGTGTTGCGCCCGAAACGTCGTGAGTTATTTTATTTTATACCTACGTGACTTTACCGAAAGAACCAGCGAGTGTAGTAACTACTTGTCACGTATTGCTGATGTGACAACCCTTACTAATTGGCTGTGTCGTGTGGTGGCGGATGTAACGACCGCTTGCCACCATTGGTGGTACAAACCAAATATCTAAGTATCAACACTGCCGTGACCGGGGCAGCGTCATACCACTGCAGACTTCCCACACGGTGGTACGAACTTCACTGACCCCCAAATGGACAATAGCCGAAGCTGGATTGTCAATCCGTTAACTGCAATGCCACCCGGGATCAGATATCCGATTAAAAAAAAAACATGTTTGCAAACGTTGAACTATTTTCGGCAAAGAGAATGAGGAGACCGCATCTGACCCGGCAGTCCACATGGTTAATTGGGGAAAGTGTGGTCTCTAATCGTATTTGACGTGTGTACACGAATGCACGTGTGTTACAGTTCAGGTATGTCATTGTGAGCATGTGTCTGAGCGAAGTGGTAGAGCAGTGGATAGCCCACTACTCTATAAATCCGGTAACCTGAGTTAAGATTCCTGGCCACGGCTAAGACCAGTGGCATGTGATATCATAACCAGGTCCTTGGCTTCCCCGAGGTCGAGTCAGCCTTAAATGAGTACGTGGCAGAGAATGAAAACATCGGCCGAGCGTGGTGAGGACTGCACTAAGCCCTCGTGCGCAGGTCCGGTACTGGCACTTGCCCTGTGAGTGTGTGCAAGGTTACATGGGGATCCTTTGTCTTTGTGTGTGTACGTGTCCACTTTATGCAAGTGCCTGCATGAGCACAGCATAGTAACAAAACCAGCGCGTTTGAGGTATTTTTAAAAATAAGTAATTGCATGAGCTATGTCTGCCACTTAATGCACGAACATTTTGCCAAGAAACTTTTGATATTTTGTGAGGAAAAAAAAATGTTTTGCGCTTATTTTTAAAATGCTTATAAGAAAAGCAGAAATATTTTTTTAGCTAATGATCAGTTAGGAAGTACAAATGGAGGGCTCAATAGTTTATCTGATTAAACTTAAATATAATCATTCACACCAAAGAAAACGTGTATGCAGGCTGGAAACAAATACTACTAACTATTACTAACTCATTTATATTTTAACGGGTAAAGCCCACGGAACTGCGGGCACTTTTTCAGAGGCGACTTGGCCAAGCGTGATCGATAGCTCGTCATCACAGAGGCTGATATCACCATGTGAGAATTCAGAGCAGTGGCCAAATCATCTAAAGGCACGTTTATAGTTTATAGAACGTTTAAAGTAACTCTTTGGTTCTTTCGGTAAAGTCACGTAGGTAAAAAATTTAATTAAATTAAATTAAACAAAAATGACAACAACTAAATTAAATCACGACGTTTTGGGCGCAACACAAGCGTCCGTCATCAGGTGGGGACAACCACAGCGAAAACAATCGCTGAAGTGTGCCGAAAACTTCAATTCTAGAACGTTTATAGTTTATAGGACGTCGTGGAGGGAGACCGGAAAACCAGGAGAAAAATCCACGTGACCAACATGGGGCGAGGCAACACGCGGGGATCCAAAAAGTTGTAAAAACATTCAGCACTGGGGAGCCAAGGACTGCACTGGCATCGAACAATCCGAGGAGGAAGCCTCGGAGTTACTGAGGAGGTACTGGGGGGGGGGGGCTCGTTTCGCCCTTTGTAAAGAAAGGAACCACAAGACTTAGACGAACCATTGAGGACCGTCAGAGAGCAGGGGAAGTGAAATGGCAACATCCCCCAGGTCTACCTTGAGAAAGAGACGTGTGTATTCTCAAAGGGCTCTCACCTGCTTGAAATAAAGCAATGGAATGAATCCATCCTTTCTGTTTCATATGTGTACGTCCGTGTGTGTGTGTGTGCACGTGCGTGTGTGTGTGTGTGTGCACGTGCGTGTGTGTTGAACTGATATGGTTATGAACTGAGTGGTGGCAACTTGAAAGTGCCGTGCCAAGTTGTGAGCAACGAAGCGTGCGGACGCCACTTGGGCCCTAGAGGAGGCTCGCAGGGGCCACGAGCTCAAGGTGGGCCCCACATTGGGGTCACGTAAGGATACGTTGGGGTCACGTAAGGATACATTGGGGTCGCGTAAGGACACATTGGGGTTGCATAAGGACACTAAGGGCACACCATCATGAAATAGTTGATGAAATGCGGCTGGGACACAGCTGGGCAGGAGAGAGCAGGGAACTGGCTCAATAGAAAGAGAAAGGAGGGAGAGGAGAGAGTGAGAGGCGGAGAAAGAGGCCAAGGGATGGGGTTGGTGGAAAAGGTTCCAGGTCCTCTCCGGGAGAGAGCGCTTGCTGTGTGTGCAAGCGTGGTTGTCGTGAGAGGGAATTTTCTTTTAAAATAAAAACCCTTCCACAAAGATCGCCGCGCGTGGGCTCCTTTTCACTTCTTATTCCCCAATTGCGGGAAAAGGTCATCGCACCTGCCGCGGCTGATTCCCGCACGGCTGGTAAGCGAGCGGCACATTGCTTGCGGGGACGGCGAACTTCCTGGTGGCTGGGTGGTGGCGGTGGCTGGGTGGTGGCGGTGGCTGGGTGGTGGCGGTGGCTGGGTGGTGGCGGTGGCTGGGTGGTGCCAGTGGCTGGGTGGTGGCGGTGGAGGTGGTGGTGGCTGGGTGGTGGCGGTGGCGGTGGTAGCGGTGGTGGTGGTGGCGATGGTGAGATCTTCAACGAGGGGATTATCCGGTATGATAGCGTTCTCTCAGTTGCTACTCCGCCAGCTTTGAATGAATGAAACACCCAAAAAGGGTGGAGAAGAGTGAAGAGCTACAGAAGGAAGTGCCTCGAGAACAGACCGAAGTGACTCTACTAGTGACTCTACAAGTGACTCGGAGTGCCTCGAGAACAGACCGAAGTGACTCTACTAGTGACTCTACAAGTGACTCGAAGTGCCTCGAGAACAGACCGAAGTGACTCTACAAGTGACTCTACAAGTGACTCAAAGTGCCTAGAGAACAGACCGAAGTGACTCTACAAGTGACTCAAAGTGCCTCGAGAACAGACCGAAGTGACTCTACAAGTGACTCTACAAGTGACTCAAAGTGCCTAGAGAACAGACCGAAGTGACTCTACAAGTGACTCGAAGTGCCTCGAGAACAGCCCGAAGTGACCCTAAAAGTGACTCAAGAACAGTGACTCGAAGTGCCTCGAGAACAGACCGAAGTGACTCTACAAGTGACTTGAAGTGCCTCGAGAACAGACCGAAGTGACTCTACAAGTGACTTGAAGTGCCTCGAGAACAGCCCGAAGTGACCCTAAAAGTGACTCTACAAGTGACTCGAAGTGCCTCGAGAACAGCGAGGCACCAGGAGTGTAGTTTTACCGCAGCGATGTCAAAAGAACGAAGCAGACGGATGCCGAGGGGGCATTATGTAAGATAATCCAGGCCGTGCAGAGCAGCCAAGCAGATGCTGCGGAATTCTAACAAACTGTAATCGCACTTTTGATTTAAAGCTTTTGTGACTGCAGGGATTTATATTCTTGGTTCTTTCGGTAAAGTCACCACGTAGAAGGGAAACAATAAAATATGTTTTATTATTTTTTATTATTTTATTGTTTCCCTTCTACGTGACTTTACCGAAAGAACCAAGAATATGTAATCACAGTTATATAAGGGGGGGAGGAATAAATGAAAAAGTGGGTGGCTCCAGGGATACTTTTAAAGAACATGAAAAGAAGTGGAAATTAAGTTTTGCTGAATGTTAATGAGCAGATGGAATATAACACCTCTGAGAAAACCAGTGGGGTAGTAGGGTTGTTTCATTTTAATGTTGGGCCTCTGATAGCAGCATGCAGAGAGGATGTACTGTTGCCTTGCAGGAGGTTTATTGATCCCGTTCACCTGTGCAGCGGCACAGCTGAGACAATCCACGGTGACACAACGGTTGGCGCGCTGCGCTCTGAACCGGGCGACCCGAGTAGGATCGTCAACATCAGTGTCTCGTGATATCAGGGGCAGCTCTGTATCCCCGCCACGTTCGCCAACCTTCACTGAACAGTGTGGTTAAGTATGTTCCAAAGTCAAATCCCCTCACGGCTCGCAAGGCACGGGGAGGCTGTCATCTACAGTGAGGGAAAAAAAGTATTTGATCCCCTGCTGATTTTGTACGTTGGCCCACTGACAAAGAAATGATCGGTCTAAAATTGTAATGGTAGGTTTATTTGAACAGTGAGAGACAGAATAACAACAACAAAATCCAGAAAAACGCATGTCAAAAATGTTATAAATTGATTTGCATTTTAATGAGGGAAATAAGTATTTGACCCCTCTGCAAAACATGACTTAGTACTTGGTGGCAAAACCCTTGTTGGCAATCACAGAGGTGAGACGTTTCTTGTAGTTGGCCACCAGGTTTGCACACATCTCAGGAGGGATTTTGTCCCACTCCTCTTTGCAGATCTTCTCCAAGTCATTAAGGTTTCGAGGCTGACGTTTGGCAACTCGAACCTTTAGCTCCCTCCACAGCGGCAGGAGCACCCTCTATATTATCTCCTTGTTAAAAAAAATAATCAGATTTAAAAAATTATCTTTTCAGTACAAATGTATCCGTTCCACTGTAAACTCGCTGGGTACTGGCTAGATTGAACTTCCCGTGTGACGTATACACATCGACTGATCAGCATAAATGTTACATTCGCGTATAATTTGAATAAATAATAAATTATCCATCGTCACGAACATGGTTTGAAATATATATTGTGTATTTTTTGCGAGTGTAACAAACTAAGCACAAAAAGCGAAAACCATTGAATGTGCGTGGTATAACAATGATGTATGGTTCCATTTAAAAAGATTGACAACCCCCCCTCCCCACGCCTCTAGGAAAGTTTCAAGATTTGAGCCAGATAGTGAACATAGTACGAGATGGGCCAGGATTCTACTTCACAAAAACAGTGGGTAGCGACAAAAAT